AGAAAGATTCCAGGTCTATTTGATCGGTAAAGAGTTCGACTTATTAACAGACTGCATAGCTTTAACTTTCCTGTTCACTCCCGTGTCACGTCCATGTGCACGCATCGAGCGATGGGTATTGCGCCTCCAGAGTTTCCAATACAAAGTCGTACATATTTCAGGACATACTAATATTGCCGATGTGTTATCTCGCCTATCGACTTTCCATCCAATTCCTTTTGATGAGACGGAGGAATTAGTAGTAAACGAAATAGTAACCGCTGCTGCGAAGACGATGGCTCTAAAATGGGAGGAGATAGAGAAGATGAGTCAAGAAGACCCAGAGATCACGGAGATAGGTGAAGCATTGAGGTTAGGTAGGATTGATAACTTACCACTGGCATACAAAATAATTTCATCAGAGTTGTGTATGGTCAACGATGTTCTGCTGCGGGGTGATAAGATTGTGGTGCCCAACAAGCTACGCCAACGAATTCTAGAGCTGGCCCATGAAGGTCACCCGGGTATAAGGATTATGAAAACTCATCTTCGGGGGAACGTTTGGTGGCCTAAAATGGACTTGAATGTAGAGAGATTTGTCAAGGCTTGTCGAGGATGTTCCTTGGTATCATCACCTAGCGCACCGGAACCAATGATGCGGAAAGAGCTCCCGAGTCGAGTTTGGGAACAAATTGCTGTGGATTTTCTTGGTCCACTGCCAAATGGAGAGAATTTACTGGTTTGTGTGGATTAATATAGCAGATATCTTGAGGTAGTAGAGATGCAGGAAATTCCTGCATCAGCTACAATTTGTGAGCTTTTGACTATCTTTTCCCGCTATGTGATACCTGAAATCCTTCGAGCTGACAACGGACCGCAGTTTTCATCGGAAGAGTTTCGAAATTTTTGTGATGAGTATGGTATTCACCTAGAGAGCACTATTCCTTACTGGCCACAGATGAATGGAGAGGTGGAACGACAAAACCGATTCATTTTAAAGCGCTTGTGCATTGCTCAAGAGCTTGGTCAGGATTGGAGACAGGAATTACGCAAATATCTGATGATGTACCACTCATCAAGTCACACAACAACTGGAAAGGCACCAGCGGAATTGATGTTTGGCCGTAAAATGCGAACAAAGCTACCCTATGTTCCAGTGAAAACAATGGATTCGGAATATGTAAGGGATCGTGACAGATTGGAAAAAGAAAAGGGGAAAGAGTATGCGGATATTCGACGAAGAGCAAAGCCTAGTTCTATTGAGGTGGGTGATTACGTGCTTGCAAAACGAATGAAGAAGGACAATAAATTGAGCTCACAATTTACCCCGGAAGAATTTACTGTAGTCCAGAAGAGGGGTACTGAAGTAGTTATTCGCTCGACTGAATCTGGTAAACAATACAGAAGAAGTGCAGCCCATTTGAAAGTCATACCTGCAAAGATCGATAGTGCAGATCAGGGTTTTAACCCACCAGTTCATTCAAATCAACAGGCTGTAGAAACTATGGAAGAATCGACAGCATCACTTCCGATGGAGAGTGGTTTGACAGAAAAGGTAGTTAGAGCGTCGAAAAGGATTAGGGCAGAATCAAAGTTGCTTAAAGACTATGTAACATATTGATGTCGAAGAATCAGTTGATTAAATAAAGAAGGGGAGGAATGTAGGATTTGAGACGAAGTGTATAAACCTTGATTATGTATTTATCTTGATTAACGGCACGAGCGTTTAACGAACTGAGCTGAATGTTCGGCTGAATGAGATACGGGAGGGAGAAGTAGTGCAACCATTGAAGAACACGGTACGTGAGTGCGTGCTGGGAAGACGAGTGAGAATTGAAGGAAGAAATCGTATGCTAAAACCCTACACATCCCAGTGTACAACCAAAGGTACATCATTTCCTAGACGGTTTTGTTCTACACTCGAAGTTTTTCCAAGTAGGATGGTTTGAATAAATTGTGTGCCAAAGCAAATACACCCTTGTAAAAAACGACGACGACGAGATAACGGCGCCAGTGGTGTAGTGGTAAGCGTGATTACCTCTCACCCCAGAAGGCCTGGGTTCAATCCCAGTCAGCGCCGCCGGGATGTTCTGAGGCATAACATCTCTGATCACGCCTTCCTTCGGATGGGAAGTAAAGCCGTTGGTCCCCGGTTCATGAGTTGATGGGTCGATAGGTAGGGTCCAGGTGTGGGAGCTGCCTTCCTGGCACGTCGGTAGCATTGGTGCTCAGCACGGAAAACAAGATCGACGGAAAAAAACAAACCAAAGGAAAAAAAAAGACCCTTGTGAAAAATCACGCATTTTTCCAAACATAATTGTTGTACTATACCGGAAACCTGTGTAAAGTTTCATCAAAATCGAAGATTCTTTGCGCATGATATCGGCTATCCTCCATGCTGAGTTAACCCCCACACAACGTGACTGCCTCGCGCAGACAGCAGCAGGCGGCAGCTGTCATTGCGCTAGAAAAAAAGAATAATCAGCAGTTTGTTTGGTTAGCAATCCGTAATGGCTAAATAACTTTTTTCCGAGGGGGGCGACACATCTAAATCTCAAATTTAGATGCTCAAAAAATCTCACACTAGCGAATCAATCTTCGAATAATCTTCTTGCATTTCTCGCATCTACTTGCATCGCGCATCATCTTTTTGCAGGAAATCTTCAGAATCGTCATCAATCTTCTTTCTATCTACTCAGCGTGCGAGCAGCTAGCCACAGCACAACACAATCTTTCCTGCAGCGTTTAGAGTCGCCCCCCTCGCTTTTTTCACAAGTGTCGGATCGTTTTGCGGTCTTGAAAGAAAAGTTTCCTTGTAAAATTTCCTAGGAAAAAGTTGGGTTGATTTATTTTTAGAGGACAATGGGTGGCCTCATCAGATTTTTATTTGAAAAAGCAAGTTTTCCCATAGAAAATCCTATGTAAAATTAAAACCACTGGCGCTAAAATATTTTTTTCCACTGACCGACCTGAAATTTTACGCTGTAATGCTAGGACCCATAAGGCGCCCGGAAATCATACTGGAACGAGAATTAATTTTTTTCATATATCCGTGTCCCAGCCTAATATTGATGTTGCTTCTCACAGCCGTTAGGTAACCGCCTCCTGTCAACATTTATTTATGTGTTCAATCCAGAAAAGTCTATTAAAATCCTTTATTTTACGCAGGAGTTCTCAGAAGAACAATTGACACTTCTCAAAAAGGTATTAGCACAGACAAACAGACATAACACATTAAATATTTCTCACTGTAAAACATCGTCGCTAAAACATTACCGCCATCTGTTGAGTACACTATGGTGGGTAGTACGCAGAACAGATGGCGGTAGTGTGTAAACGTCAAACGCAAGGGAATTGAATATGCGCGCCACAGGTGATGGTACTACCAACTACGATATTTTTAAATTTACCGTTAAATGCTTGTTCGATGAACAATTTGCGAGTGTTATGTCTGTTTGTCTGTGGTATTAGGATATGCGATCCCCTCAAAACCTGACGTGGAAGAGACTGACAGGAATATTATTTCAGAGACAATACAAAACGGAAAGGGACATTCACTTAGTAAAACCGAAAAAGAAGAAATTCTAATTCTCAAAGAACTTAAAACAAAGGTATCTGGTTAGGTAAATTGTGATATTGCAGTGGATACCTGCTGATTTTTAGTACCTATTGATTAGTATATAACTCCTAGATAAAAGATGGATTCTTCAGTGGTGTTGAATACTTGGCACCGATGAAGTCTGCAATTAGTAGACGAAATACGTGTATCGGTCAAAGGATAAGCAATTATAACGGAATTTAAAGGAAATAAACCAACACACTCAAAGCTCTTCATAAAGGGATTCCGTTAAGAAGTTCGACAAATTTTAAAGATCCTTTATTTTAATTTATTTTTGCCAGATTTGTTTTCCGTCGATTATGTTTTCCGTACTGAGTTCCAAGGCTACCGACGCCAGGGATGCAGCTCCCACACCTGGACCCTACCTATCGGTCCATCAAACTCATGGACCGGGGACCAACGGCTTTACTTCCCTTCCGAAGGAAGGCGTGATCAGAGACTTTATGCCTCTGAAAATCCTGGCGTCGCCGACTTGGATTGAACCCATGCCGTCTGGGATGAGAAACAATCACGCTTACCACTACACCATCGGCATCGCTAAAAATGGTCTATAGCGGCAGCATATGAACAGGAAGCAGCTTAGTCGCGAAATTATAATCCATACCGTGCCTGTGAGCAATCATCAACTAGCCTGTCACAATAAAGAGCAATAAAGTTTTGTTTATAGTTCTACTTTCAAGTACTTATACAGTCGCGAATCACAGTCATCAATCCGTTAAACCATAACAACTACTTTCGATTCCAAATGCTTACTATCCCGAAGAACAACGCATTCCCCGTGGATACCAACCATAATAATGTAAATTTTGCACTCCATGGCCGCCTTGATTTTATGATTCGATAAACCCTAACCTTGTCTCCATTTCCATCTGAAAAATAAAAACGTACTTCCTCAATAAAACAAACCAAAATGTTCCTATCAAATTGTTTTCTTCATTGTCATAACGACGAAAATATTCCGCACTGTAGCGTAACTGTCCCACAATTGCATATTTTCCTATCCATATGAGACAATTAAGCTTTTATGGACACTGTGTGGCACAGTGATAACAGCACTTTCTCATCTGATTTTGGTAAATCTCTGCGCATAAAGTAAAAAAAAAACCCTGCACGTTTAATCATTTGTTTGCTCAGAAATAAAAATTCGCAAACCGCACGGTACTTCGACGGGCTTAGAAACTCTGTGCAAACAAACCAACCACACACACCCCCGAACAAGAACCAACCAACCCGTCGACGACACCCACTTGAGGAGTTGGCGCGCGAAAAGGAAAACAGATGATCCGACCAGCCGAAGCGTGACTCGCCAACTGATAGTGATTCCGACGCGTTCGAGTGTGTCCGTATATAAAACTGTCCTGGCATTATCACTGGCAGTTCCACTCTGGCACCGATTGCCTCTCATACCAGTTAATTTCCCATCCGAATTCAAAATGTGTCAAATCGTAACCTTATTAGTGCTAAGCATCGCAGCTGCTCTAGTGCCATCAATCCGCGGTCACGGTATGCTACTGGATCCGATAGCACGTGGTTCTCGGTGGCGATGCAATTCGGGTGCACCGGCCAACTACGACGATAATGGTCTTTACTGCGGTGGGTACTTTGTTCAGTGGGAGCAAAATGGAGGAAAGTGTGGCTTCTGTGGGGACAACTATGCCGATGCGCGGCCAAGGATGCACGAAATCGGAGGTCCCTTCGGGCAAGGTGAAATCGTTCGAAACTACTCGAAGGGCGCTGTCATTGAGGTGAAGGCAATGATCACCGCGAACCATATGGGGCACTTGGAGTTCAATGTATGTGACTTGAGCCGGTCTAGTGCTGGCGAAACGGAAGAGTGCTACCAGCAGTACAAGTTGTCGGACGTGAAAGGACGAAGAGAGTGTTATCTGAATTCGACGGCGGCCACACAGTACACCGTTATGCTGCAGTTGCCTGCCGATCTCGTGTGCGAACATTGTGTTCTGCAGTGGACGTACGTTGCCGGTGAGTAATGGGCATTTGGTTGGCGTTGGGAAAGTGAACGCAAAATAGGTGTGATGTTGTTCGTGTGAATCAGTTTCCGGTAGGCTTCGATTATCATAATTCAATCAAATGACACAAGTTTTGACAAATAATGAAACACGATGCGATGGCTGGCAAACAATTAGTTCGAGCACACAACATGTTGAAGAATCCAATTTGGAAACTCCTTATTTAATAGGGTTCTATGGGGCTTTAAGCGTTAAAACTATCAAATGACACCAAGTTTGTTTAACCCAGTGCCCTTAAAAAAAATCCAATAAAATACAAGGATTTTAATTGTCATTGTAACCATTACATTTACTTTCTGACTTTATACATTTTTGTCGATTGCCATACAACGAGATTCATGGTTCACAACAAATAAAATCATGATATTTGAGAATTGTACAGTAAAAAGAGGGGGTTGTTAAGCATCTTAACACAATCACAATCGAAATATATTTTTTCTCTGGTACAACAATCTAACAATAAATACAATGTACTCGAAATTCAACACTCAAGTTGAATTTTGCGTATTTACCAATCGTTCTGGCCATATACATCCGTAATGCAAAAAAAAAATTCAAGCGGACGTTGTTGCATCATAGAGATACAAGCACCACGGACCGAACTTTGGTCATCACTGGTTTAACCATTTACCGTCCGAACAACGGTTTTAGTCACTCCGAACATTGTGTACCTTCTTTGGTAGGCTTATTTGTGCAAATACGAGAGGCAAGGCAGTTAGTGACTCTCAAAAATAGTTTATCCCACCACTGGTGTCATCGTACAGTCATATCTTTATTTTGATTTGCGCAACCCAACAAACATGTTTGCTGTATAGTCGCTATATTCATAGTCTGGCGGATAGAATCTCGGGAACCAATTGAACTGTCAAATAGCGAAACCAATCGAGCAAATCACGACCAACAACAGAAAAGAGCACATCAGCTATTGCGAACAACACTTCGGAAACCCTTTTCTCGTGACCTAAGACACGCCTTCGCAAACTAACACCATCTTTGGGCTGGGGAAAGTTTCCCCTATTCGATGATGCCGGAAATTTGTGTTCGATTGGCGAGGAAAGAATAATCATCGTTTTGTTTATAAAAGTTGATAGTACCTTTTCAATTGTTGGTCTAAAATATATTGAATTGGTTCCGCTTTTTGCTTACCGGTTGGTTTTACTGGGTTTTTGAATTGCGGAACTGTTCATAAAAGTTTAAAATTCTGTGTAAAATTAAAAAATTAGAAAATTTATTCCAAACTAATACAGACTTAGTTCTGTTAATTCCATTTAATGATAGAAAATAAAATTTGTAGATTTCATTGATTCCTTACGGATAACGGCCTAATGCAATGTTCAGCTTTAATTATATGGCAAGTAAAATATGATGCTGTATGCCCACAGAAGTCGAGAAATTTCTCAGGAATCGAACTCAGCCACCTCCAACATGGTCTTGCTTTGTAGCTGCATCTTTACTAACTGAGCTAAGGTAGGTCCCATAGCATACGGAGAAGCTTAAATTAGTGCTGACTAATTAATGGTAGACCGACAAACATGAGATCTGCCCATCATAGGCGTTAGATGGGCGCAGGCTGTGCGACTGCCTGCCCTTAACTCAGCAACATTCAAGCGTTCGACCTAATGGCAATCGGCCAAATCCTCCATAGTAAAAAAAACGCACTAGTTTGAAACCCGGCTACGCCCTTGCCGCACATAAAAGCACAACTGTCCCATATGAATAGGAAATCAAGCAGGCAAATATGCTTTCATGGGCAGAGAAGTATCGAAAACTTGTGGATCACCTGTACTATTATTTACTTACGGTTTCCTGGTCATATGACTGTTTCCTACACACTAAGATTTTTTTACAGTATACTGTAATTTTTTACCGAATATGGAACAGCTGAACATTCGGTAATCCATTCGGTAATTTTTTTAATTTACAATCCGTTCTGTAAATTTTCTTCGCTTGTGGCCTGTCAAAATTTACTGACCTGGACTGTAAATTTTACTGAAAGATCGGTAAAGTTTACCATAGCGTTCAGTATAATTTTTACCGAATCGACTGTACTTTATTTTCAGAATAAATAATAAACATTGTAATTTTTATTGATTGATTAACTGTTTCTTTCTTTCATAAAACCAAAAGATTCATTCCTTTTTACCATATATTTTTTTGGAAGATGCATTTTCATCTTGAGTTTGTACAGAAAATTATAAAAAAAAATCAGTAAAGAACCCGGACGAGGTTATCAACTAAGTAGCGAACCGTTCTAAAATGCAGTTTCGGCGGTAGAGGAGGACATTGAGTTGCATAACGTCCATGGCGTCTGAAAGAAATTGGCCCAGAAATGAAAAACTAATTATATTTTCTGCATAAATTGCACAGAATCTATCGAAAGGTAAAGTACTTACGCTTCACAACGTAGAACCGAAGGACACTCAACATCGAAATGGCAGCTAATATTGAGTTTGACAGTACGAAAATCTGTTCAGTAACTTTTACAGAATTCGGTACTTTATTGCTGTTTGATTTTGTAAAAGATTATTTTTACAGTATACTTGTCACAATTTTTACAGAATTGCGAAATCGCTGCCTTTTACAGTTTCGATCCGCAAATTTTATTTACAGTTTTCGGTAAATGTATGTAAATAACGGAAATTCAGCAGTTTAGATTGCGGAAAATTTGTAAAATAATATGTTTTACAAAGCATTCGGTAAAAATTACATTTTACCGAACAAATCCAGCAAAAAAGTACCGAACAAGATTTAAGAAATTTGGTGTGTAGATACCAGTTCCATCCAGTGAAAATTGGCTGTCTCCAACCGGCGTGATCCTTTCTGACTGCCTACTTCTGCCCATGCATGTCTTAATTAATTCTTCTTTTCTTGCTCACGTTTTTCGCTATTGAACATCTGGCCGTGTTCCCATTTGTTCTCAGATAGTTAATATTAGCACAGACAAACAGACATAACACATTGAATAATTCTCACTGTAAAACATCGTCGCTAAAACATTACCGCCATCTGTTGAGCACACTGTGGTGGGTAGTACACATAAAACTCGCAAGTTGTTCATCGAACAAGCATTTAACGGTCAATTTAAAAGTATCGTAGTTGGTAGTACGGCCCCCTGTGGCGCGTATAGTCATTTTGCTTGCGTTTGACTTTTACACAATTCCACCATCTGTTCAGCATAGTGCCCACCACAGTGCACTCAACAGATGGCGGTAATGTGTCAGCGACGATATTTCTCGATGAACATTTCAAATGGTCCTATCTGCTTTGATCGATTCTCTTCATCGACTTTCTCTTTTCATAACCACTGCTATGCAAACAGATTTCGCGCTAATTCTACCACATAGTTTGATAAAGGAGGTTCTTATCTAGCGTCCAAAACGTCAAATACAACAGGGAAAGGTTTTTCAGCTGAGTTATTAACGAAAGAGAAAGTCGATGAAGATAATCGATCAAAGCAGATAGGACCATTTGAAATGTTCATCGAGAAATCTTTTTCTCGACATTTATTTTCCACAAGTATGTTCCATTACTCTTATAGATTTAAGTTTCACCCTCTTGCCCAAACTTTCGGACCTTTGACTTGACTCCTGCCATCAAGGTTTGGACAAACTTCTGCTTGAAGTTTTTAACCGATTTTGACTTTCCTCCCATTTTCCGACAATCAGCCATTCATCTGACCGACATGTTGGGCTTCCTCTTGTATACTTTCACTACTTGTTTATCATCTAGTTTGTTGCGTGTTCCCCCTTTCGACTGCTCACGCTCCTTCAATGTTACTCAAAAGTGAGTAAAAATCTACTCTCTTTCGGTAAAAGTGGAACTACTCTAAAGTGAGTAAACCTATAGTTACTCACTTTTGAGTAATGATAGCATTTGTCAAAATCAGAGTAACTTGTACTCTGTTCTGATTTGCAGTAAAAAAGCATATCTGAGTAAATGTGACTCAGTTCATATAAAATTGAGCGTTTTTCGAAATGAGTAATTAATTCATTTTATATTGATAAAATATGAAAAATTAAAACGGTAGAACAAACAATTTTATTAAAATATAAAAGAGGAGACGTACATTTATATTTAAAAAACAATGTTTTCGGTGTCTTATGTGGCTTCTCTAAATGCAACGACGAGGCTGGTGACCGACGCTCTTCAGCGATGTCTAAAAATGTTGCATGGCATTATCATGGCAATATGAGTAAGCACAGGGATCCCAATAACCTTCAGAAAACGCTGATGTTCCATCTGCATTTCTATGCTGTCCACTACGTCCGATGTAACATCCCACATCAACATTTCCTAGATAGGCCTATTGTTTTTTGATAGTATTGAATAAGGTGCTTTTATTTTCAAATACTTCATTTTTCTTACCTTTCCAATTTACGAAACGAATCCTTATCTACCTCTGCAGCCACTTGATTCATTCCTTTATTCTAAATTTTCAAAACTTCAAAGGGAAATCGGAAGTTTAATCACCAACAAAAATTTTCACTTTTGTTACAAGTATTTGACATAAGCATGGTGAGTAACATTTGTGCAGGATTACTCAGAAATGAGTAAACAATGTTTTTAGACAAACAGAGGAGAAGTTACTCACTTTGCTCAATCAATGTTACTCAGATTTTGACATTTTGTACAAAAATACCAAACTGAGTAGAAGTTACTCACTTTTGAGTAACATTGAGCGAGCGTGCTGGGTTGGCTTCCTCTGAACCGTTTTGGTTTGTAGAAACTTGCTGATGACATTCGAAACCGTTTGTTGCGTCGCCCCGAATTCGCGATTGTTTTCTGTGAACGATTAGGATTTTCTAACCACTTGTTCAAAATAGGATTTCGCAGCTCCTGTTGTCGAGACGCCATTTTCAGAACTTAAATTAAAAAGTAAACAATATGCATGTCGACGCGAAGGTGAAAGGATCAACTGACAGCTAAACAAACCATACACTGGAAGAAATTCTT